GCACATGCCCCGCCCCACCGCCTCTGTTCTTTCAGGCAGGAAGTGCTTGCTGACCCCTCAGAGCTTTCTGGAGCACAAGCGTATGCAGTGAGACCCTGGATGCAGGAGGGCAAGTGGTCCCCATGGGGAGGTTGGAGACACAGCGGAAGGCATGGGTCAGGACAGCAGGGCAGGGGGACAGCGGTGCCGAGTTTTCATTTAAGTCCCCACTCTGCCACCCTGCAGTCATGGGACTTTACCTCCACTCGCCTCTCCTTGGAGCGGTAGCCCCAGGACTGTGGACTCTGCAGAGAGCTCACACATGCCCAGCGTCACTGTGGCTGTCGGGTGGTGCAGCCTGCTGGGCAGACAGGAGCAGGCGGGCTTGGCTGCAGACAGCAGGCAGCGGTCACAGGCTTGAGTGAGCACGGCAGCTCTGGGGGCCCCGGGGGTGAGGGGCCGGGCCGTGGGGACCCCAGCAGGCTTGTCCTTGAGTCACTGTGGGGCTGAGCAGAGTTGAGACCTTCAGTGGGCCTGGGGGGCACAGACATTATTTTAATCTTACTCGTAAAACGTAATTGCTTTTTGTCGGCGGGTGTTCCTGGAGCCACCCTGTGAGATTGCTACCCCGGCTTCTCTGCTCCGGGAGACGCAGGGCGGCCCGCGCCACGCGGCATTAATACTCTGCAAATGCGATTTCATGGCCTGCAATGAGATTAGGGCCAGGGGCTCTGCTCTTGGTAGAGACAAGGCAGGCGTGTGGGTGAGGGTGGCCCACGCTGAGTGGGGGCATTGTGTGGGGGAGTGTCCCCGCATGGATAAGCAGCTTCCCTAGGCAGAACCCCTCACCCTGCCCTGCCCTGCTGGCTCGTCCTGGCAGCTCCTCTGCAGAGGCCCTGTCCTGTCCCCACCCGCTGACTGGCCACAGACGCCTGAACAGAGGAGGCTGCGGTGGAGAGCACAGGCTGCAGCAGAGCGCTGGGTCCCAACCCGGCTCCTCTGCTCCTGGCTCGGCCTTGGCCTTGTCATAAGGGGACTCAGTACCTGCCTCTGGGGTCGCGATGGCTGTGCTGACGGAGGGACAGACATAGCACAGTGACCAGCTCACTTCAGGGCTCCCTGGCTGTTAGCTGCTCTGATGAAGCTTGAACACACCAACTAGTCATGCCCTCGTGGGGAGAAGGCCGAGGACTGCTCTGGAGGAGGGACTGCCCCAGGCTGCAGTGGCGTGTCATCCCTCACCTGTTCTGCGGGCACCCACCTGGACCAACACTGAGCCAGGTAACAAGCTGGCCCTGGATGCCCACAGCTGCCATCGTGGTCCCCGTCCTCAGGGGAGGCAGGTCCAGAAAGGTCGAGAGTGGATCATGAGCCCTCCGGGGGAGGCCGCGGGCTGTGGCTCTGAGGCCCTGGTGATGCAGTTGCCGGTGGCTGTGCCATCTCTGTCTTGAAGAAGTACCATGAATTGTTCAGGCTGGGAGCTGAACAGTCTTGGCATTTGGGACACGTGTGAAGGCCCAGAGGCTCGAGTCCCTGCCTGTTCAGGCGCACTGCAGGTGCATGGTGAGGCTCAAGCGTGGGGGTGAGGCAGGGATCAGAGGGATGAGAAGAAGGGCCTGAGTGGGCCGACCAGGCCTGCAGGTGTCTCCCAGGAGCCAGGGGCTCTCCTGGGAGCAGTGGCCCACAGAAGGGTTTATCAGAGCAGAGAAGGTACTTGGGCAGTCACAGGCTGACAGGACATTGCTTTGCTGGGGAGGCATTGAGCCTGCTGTGTTCCCCCAGACCTTTCTGCCCTCCGAGTGGACCCCACCCACCCTGGGCAGGTACCGTCTCTGCCCCTGCTGGTGCAGGGAATGGAGGGTGGCTTCATCGTTACCCTTTTGTTCAGTGCTCTGTTAACAGGTTATTGATTTTTCAAAAGAAAAATGTCCAAAGCCACGTTGCATCTTTAGCAAAGAGGTTCCAGATCGACTGTGGGGCCTGGGCCACCCCAAACGAGAGCTCGGGTTACCAGGGCGGACAGGTGTCCTTCAGGAGGTGCTTGATAACCACGTTGCTGAGCCAACGGGAGCAAGTTATCCATGAAGAATGCCACCTTCTTTCTCCACCACCTGAATCCTCCCACTGCCAGACGGGACCACCGGGGCCCCATGTTGGCGCAAACCAAGCGAAAGCTCATGGCGGCTGCCCCCAGGCAGCAGGCACCCAGCTCTCTCTCTCGGCAGGCTCTCACCGAATCTCTCTGCAAGGAGCTGCTTGCAGAGCTGCTTGGTGTTGAGGATGTTGAGGTGCCGGGGGCCCCGTGGGCTGCCCACATGCATGCTGCAGTGCCCACAGAGGGCAAGTGGCAGGTGGAGCATGGAGACCCACTAAGGGAACTGCCTCCGTGGGCAGCTGTGGGGGGTCAAATCCCACGGAGGCTCAGCTCTCTCCCATGGCCCTGCCTCGTGAGCCCACTGAGTGAGGAGTCAGGGCTGTCACAGCAGCACGGGCGCAAGCAGGGGAGCTGCAGTCAAGGAAGTCTTCCTGGACGGAGGATCTCAAGCAAGCCCCTGGGGACAGGAGGACATTTCCAGCAAGGGGACCGCCTGGGGAAGATGTGGCCGTGGAATGACCTCAGAGGGGTGGGAGAGGGGCTTACGCTCTCGGAGGTGGCATGAGGGCTCACGCACTGAGCACGTGGAGACACAGGCTCACCCGTGGACGTGTCCCCTCTCCGGCCGGTTTCTGCAGGGGAGAGCTTGCCAAGTCCGAGGTGGCCGGCAGGCAGGAAGGGCATTCACGGCAGGCTCACCGCTGTGCTCAGTGCCTTCCCTGCACAGGCTCAGCCCACGGAGCAGCCCCGAAAAAATGAAGCTAAGAGAAGGTTAATGTTTTCCCCGAGATCACACAGCTATGAGCTGCCATTTGCTACAAAATCCCACTGCCAACACTTCCCACCTCTTCCCACTCAGCTGCCCAAAAGGAATGTGGAGAGTGGTGGAGGGTGGCACAGGACTGAGAGGGGAGGCAGCCAGGCCGGGGGCTCTGGGAGACAGACACGCTTCCTGCAACTCGCTGCATGGCTGCTTAGGCCCAAGAGCTGCCGCCCCAGAGCCCACGCCTGGGACGAAGACGAGGGAAGTGGTGGCTCCGAGCCACCTGTGCCTACGCAGACTGCTGCCCAGAGAGCCCAGCCCGACGTAGGGCAGGAAGCCAGACCCACCTTCCCTGAGCGCTGACTCAGGCCCAGCCACAGGACTCCCCCAGCACCCCCAGGGCTGTGGGCTCCCCCAGTGCCCCCGGCACTGCCCTGGCCAGCCCACCTCCCCCATGGCTGAGTTTAATCCCGGCCTGGCCTGACGATGCCTGACCCCCTCTCCTGGGGCAGGGACGGGGGCAGGGTTACCTATTAGCAGTGAGATTAACCTTTACCGTGCCCCACAGTGGGTCACCCTGAGTCATCAGAGCTCAGCCCGGGCCTGCCAGGAGCAGAGGGTTCCCCAGACACGTGGGCCGCCTGCTCTTTCCAGGATGCGGAGGCCGAGTGGCTGGGACTCAGGCCTCAGCTAGGCCTTCTCTCTCACTGGTGCAGAAGAAGCACCTGGGGGCTCAGGAGCCAGAGTCCTGGGGTCCTTGGTCCAGGCAGGACAGTCAGAGAGTCCTGCAGCTGCCAAGTGCACAGGCCCAGCACTCGAGCCAGCCGGCCTGGAACCAGCCCCATGGCTTCCTCTCTCCCCAGGCAGGGGAGACCACAGGACCAGGCTGTGACAGTGGAAAGCTCAGAGGCTGGGTAGCCAGCTGGTGAGAGCTGGAGGATGGCTGGGCAGGGGCTGGGGTGCAGGGCGGAGAGGTACTGACGTCGGGAGCAGGGCAAGCATAGCCCTGGGAACAAGTGCCCAGCTCCGGGCTTGCTCTTGGGCTCGGCGCAGGGCCCTGAGCAGGGGCAGCCCAGAAGGCCCCTGGGGATCCCAAGTCAGCGCTGGCTCCTCTCCCCAAGCCTACTACTTCCTGGGCTCTGCCAGCATTTGCAGTCTGGGGGGCCAGCCTTGGAGCCCCAGGAGTACCCCCTTGGTAGGCCTGGTGGGGAGAAAACCAGGAAGGGGTGTTTGGCCTCCACCCAGTGTCTGCACTGTCTGGTGAACTGGGCTAGCCCCTGCCACCTGATCAAAGGCAAGGCCTCAGGTTTTCTGTCTCTAGCTTGGGGAGAGCCACATCCTCTCTGCCTCCATGTGGGCGGAGGGAGAAGCCAGGAGGCCTCCGAGGAGGGGTAGGCTACTGCTTCCTGGCTGCCAGGGTGGTCCTGCTCTTGGGCCCCAAACCAAGACAACGGAAGAACCCAGGACAGGGACCAAGGCAGCCAGCCGGCCATGGAACGGAGTGTGGGGGCCGGCTGAACACCTGCACCCGCCCGGAAGCCCAGAGCCCTCCTTTTGTAGCCCAGGACTCCAGGCCACCCTTCAAGGCCTAGTCGAGGCCTCACTTCCCCAAGGAGGACACATCACTCTTCATTCCCCCATCTTGCCACACGAACAGCGCAGAGAGCAGGGCCTGGCGGGTGGGGAGAGCATGATAGGAAGGCGCTATGTTTGTGGTCTTCTGCCGTGGGTTCGGGATCGCTCAGCCCAGTATTCGGTCCCTACCCTAGGACTGTCCTTGGCCCATTTGTGCCTTGTTTAGTTACAGCACATTTTCCATAACACAGTGTGAGAATGCCATGACCGCCCGCCCTGAGCGGCAGGACGTTACCAGGGACAGCCCCACTGACCGCCCTCCCCACTGACCGCTGTCTGGCTTCCTACCTGCCCTCCGAGCAGAACCCATCCGTTGAGCTGCCTATTTTCTGTGACTGAGCAAAGGATGCTCTGGGCACTCAGACGGGGACGGCTGCAGGTTCTTCCGCAGAAGCAGCTGCTGGAACAGACACGCCGTGCTGCCTTGAGAGCAGCTTGTGGGTCTCCGCCTTCGAGGCAGCATGAGCGGCATGGCTGGGCGAGGGGCAGGCTTTGGCATGGCTGCTGGTGATCTGGTGGGTGCCAAGAGTGGCAAGCTCCCGGGGGTCAGACGCCCCGTCACTGCCTGTGGACAGGTTGCCCGCCGTGGCCCCGCCCTGTGACCTCACACAGTGTTGCCCAGGGGATCCAGCAGGGTGGGAAAGCTCACTGGTGTTCCAGGTCAGGGCAGAGAGAGGGCCAGCCTCTCCTCACCTTCCTGGGGCTGCTGCTGGTCAACTGCTTGCCCGCTGGCCATGGCCCAGATCCCCTGCAGCGAGCACACTGACCCTATACCATCCACACCCTGAAGGCTCCACGGTGCCCACGCCGGCTGTCTGGGTGGGACCGTGGCCTGATCACTCACCCACAGCAGGACTGGTCCCCAGGACTGAGAAACAAGGCCCAACACTCCTGCCCCAGAGAAGATGGGACAGAAAAGGAGAAAGGTGAGCCCGGGGGCGTGAGGCCTGGGGGCTCAGGCCAGGCTCCCAGGAGTTCGACCCCCTTCAAAGTCTCTTGTTTTGTTCTCTCCTAAATCATGACAGAAGCTTCCCCTCTCTGGGCCTCAGCTTGCACAGCTGTGAGGTGGGCGGTGAGGGGGTCCCTGTGGCTCTCCCTGGCCAGATGTTCTGGGCCATCGGACCACATGGGAGCAGGTGCGGTGTCTCATAGGTGGCACTGGTTCCGACTGCCCTTACCTGGCTTCTGCCCCCATGTTGCTGTGTCACTCAGGTTCAGAGAGCCCAGAGGTGGCCATCACCTTCTCTAAGAGCTCCCAAGGGAGCCCAGCCCTGCAGAGCCAGTCCCCACTGCCCTCACTTCTCCCAGCCCTGGCCTTGACCTTCTGAGACCCAGATCTCCTGCCCTAGGACAGGTCCCTGCCCTTGAGCTCCTGGAGAGACAAGGTTTCTGTCTATTTTGATCACTGCTACACCCCCAGCCTTCAGAACGCTGTCTGGCATGTAGTAAGCACTCAATAAAAAGCTACGGCAGAACAGCAGGGCCCTGCCAGGAGAGGACTGGAATCTCAGAGCAACAAAATGCAAACAGCTTACCTTCGGCTACTGGCAAGGCTGAGCCCTAGCCGACTGTCACTCACCCCAGGGACCAGACGAGGAAAGACTGAGAGCCGAGGCCCAGCGGGACAGCTAGCTGGTAGCACCCTGTTGGCAGTTACTTCTAAGCTGAATAGACCAAATGGCAGGGGTGCCCAGGCCCCTGGGATTCCACTTTATGGTCTTTGATTTTGATGCCTGCCTCCTCTGGAAGCCTCCTCCCAGAGGGACATATCCAGTACAGGTGCAGGCTGGCCTGGTCGGGGCTAGCTCCTGCCCTCCAGCCGTCAGGGGCCCGAGATGTAGGGGTTTCACCATCGCCCACGCGTGATCTGGCACACGCACTCTCTAATCCCTCCTAAATTCTCTGGTGCAGGCTGGGGTGGGGCCGGGGAGCATGTTGACTCTGCCGCAGGAACATCAGTGAGGGACAAGGGACAGATGCCTACAGATCCCCAGGAAGCAGGAAGGCAGAGGCAGAAGGTTAGCGTTGGGGCTCACCAGCCCCCCTCCCAGCCTTCCCCTCAGCCCCAGGTCTCCCTGGCCCCAGGCCCAGCCTGCCTCGAGGGCACATGCCTACGAGCCTCACCAGGAGGCAGCAGCCTGGCAGCTGGCCTCAGGCCCAGGGCGATGCAGAACAGTTCAGCCCTCCTTCAAGCTGTATTTCCCAGCAGGTGCCAGGGAGGCATGGGGAAGGCAGAACAGCAGGGGCGCCTCCCGGCCTGGCTGCGGTTGCCTGCTTGGGCTCCAGGGCACCCTTAGACAATGGCCCTGCAGCTGGGTCGGGCCTCCGTGACCCTGGGGATCTCAGGACCAGCCTGTGCCCTCTCAGCTGAGAAGGGACCAGATTCCGGTGGGAAGTGTCAGTCAGCACTCACCATTGGGAAGATTGAGTCACAAACTATTCCAGATGGTTCCTTTGATGGGGGGGGGGGCGGGGGGTGCGCTTGGGGCCCGGGCATGTGCAAAAAAAAAAAAAATATTTGCCAGAGGTTTCCTTGGGGGGGGGGGGGGAGGGGACAGGACTGAGGCTCAGAGAAGTGTCACAGAGAGTTGACTGCAGAATGGCTGAAACCTGAGTTCCTCGACCCCCGACCCCCGGTTGCCTGGCTCCTCTATGCCACCAAACCTAGTAGCAGATTGGTGTGCAGGAGGGTCCCCACTGGGAAGGAAGCAGCCAGGCTGCACGGGAGGGGCTCTTTGTGACTGCTCTTCCCTCACTCGCCTGGCAGGGGATGGGGACAGGATGGGCCACTCATCAACACTTCTGTAGATGGCAGCTGGGCCTGCTGGGTCCTGAGGACAGGGCAGTGCCCTCACAGTCCTCCCCTCTGTGAGGCTGGGGAGGGGGGTGTTCTCACCTCCTAATTAGTCACCTTGTTAGGGAGGACCCCATCCTGCCCCAGCAAGCCGAAGGGAGGCGGCAAGCAGCCAGATGGGTGCCAGGAGATCCAGGCATCTGGGGGAGAGCAGTGCAAGTGAGGGACAGCCAGGGAGTGGGCAGGAGGGGCCTGGAGGATGAGAACCCTAGAAGGCCCTTCCAGCTGGAAGGGGTGAGAGAGGGAACCCACGGACAAGGCAGGGTCAGTGTCCTGGGCCAGATCATTCAGGGCTTCAGGGGCCCCAGGGTAAGGCTGAGAAAAACAGTCAGCTACTGCAAGGGTCTGAGCAGAGGAGCAGTATTTTTCTTTTTAATTTGTAGCAGAGAGACAGAAAGAGAGGGAAAGTGAGAAATCAGCCCCCAGGGAGATGGCCACGTGCAATCCCTTCTCCTCCAGTCTCCTCTCAGGAGTTTGGGCATGCACACATGTGATTTTTAGGCCACTGGGTCCAGGATTTGAACCCCACAGCTGGCCATGTGGGATCCAGTGCCTTCCCCGCCAGGCCACGGCTGCCCGAGGAGTGGCGCTTACATGTGTAAAGGAGGGGCTGCTGGGTGAGATGGCGGGGAGGGAAATCGGATGCAGCAGGGAAGCAGAGGTGGCTGGTGTGGCAGGAGGTGTCTCCGCCTCACGTGCTGGAAGGGGAGATGGTGTGAGGGTCAGCTTCTGGACATGGGCCGGGCTTTCAGGGGCTTCAGGGAGGGCTCCCATGTCTGGGGCTTGCGTGCCACAAGAATCAATGGCGGGAAGAGAGGTCAGAAGAACAGGCAAGCATGTGGCCTTCAGCCTGCCAGCCGTGAGGTGCCAGCAGGCCTCCGGGGAGTGACCAGGACTGGGGACAGCCCAGGGCTCCTTCTAGGTTGCTCCACACCACCATTGCCAAGTAATGTCCCTAAGAGTCCCCAAGCTGGGCAGAGCCTCAGCACCCGCCCTCCTCTTCCCTCTGCCCCATGAGCCTGGAGGGGGGCTGTGCCCAGGACCCCCGGGCTCAAGGCGGAGCAGGGTGGGGCCGGACAGGCTGTCCCAACCCATCCCTTATCCTCCATGCTCCTCGTCAGGGAAACCGACACTGGGTGCGGCTGGCTTCTTCTACCCCTAAGGCCTCCTCTTCCCAGCTGCCTTCCCCGGCTGCCCCGGCCAGCCATGGCGTCTGTCTCCTCCCAGCAACTCCTTCAGCTGTGGAGCTGCTGAGGCAGGCCCAGCCCACCATCCTGCTCCTCAGGGCTCCTTGGGAGAAGGCAGACCAGGCGTCTGGGACCGTCACACTCACCACCTGCACCATGTGTGGAGTGACTCAGTGGTGTGCACCGGCTCACGAAGTGTGCTGTGTCATGTGAGGAGGGGCTGAGGGACAGGCAGACGGGGCATGGATACAGGAGAGAGCAGGTGGCCCATTGCCGGGACCAGCTTTGGGGATTACGGGCCAGAGGTGAGACTGGACTCAGAGTCGGGGAGCCTGTGTCACTGTGCAGGAAGCGACGGGCCTGAGACTAGGGGAGCTGGGGGACAGGGATCGGGGGGAAATGGGGTCAACTGCCTATAGTTCCAGACAGTGGGAGACTCACTTGGAGGGAACTGTGAGGCGGGCTGGAGATTTTGGGGTGGCAGTGCAGGGGTGCCACACTGTAAGAGGCCACTTAGCCCTGGCTCTCCCTGCAGGTCGCTGAAGGCCCCAAGGACTCCCTGGACAGCTCCCAGGGCACGGAGCCTGAAACCAGCCACCTGTCTGCCCCTAACAAGGAGACCATTGTGGTCACTCTCCACGGGGCCACCAACCTGCCCACCTCCAGCGATGGTGCCCAGCCGTGGCCCTATGTGGTGGTGTGAGTGGCGGGGCACAGGGGGGTGGGGGTAGGGACTATGAGATTTGTGGGACACAAGCACCCCAGGTGAAGGATGGGGAGTCCCAGAGGGGAGGAGCCCCGTGGGAGTTGTGGGGGACTGTGGGCTCTGCAGATGGGGGACCTGACCTCATCCCTTCTCACCAGGGCTGGGAAGGAAGGGCCACACCCCCATGATCCCACCACCTGGGGAGGGGCCACAGCTCAGCCTGAGAAGGGCAGGGCCTCGGGGGGTGACTTCAGGATGGCAGGACAGGTCTGCCTCTCCTGGCCTCTGGGTGCACCCTCCACTTGCCCGCCCTGGAAGTGTCCTCACAACACCCCCCGCCCCCACCCCGCCCGGTCCCTCTCCAGTCCTTTCCCTCAGAGGCATCCCTATTCTGGTCCTTTGATGCCCTGCGCGTCCCCCACCCCGGCCGCTGCTCTCACGCACTTCTCTAGCCTCGTACCTGAGGCCCGCTGTGCTGTCTGCTGCTCACCTCATGTCCTCGCTCCTCCCAGGAGGGCACTGGGACAGTCTCCATGTAGTCCCCCTGCTCTGGGGACGCTGGACTTCGGCTCTGTCTTCGTTGAAAATGCCACAGTGGTCCAGGCCTGCCCCCCACCAAGTTTGTGGCCCCTCAGTTCCTTCCCAGCCGCCATAGCCTCCCACAAAGCTCCCGTCACCCCCTCCTCCCTCAGTTCCTTCCCAGCAGCCATAGCCTCCCACAAAGCTCCCGTCACCCCCTCCTCCACAAATGCATCATTTAGTTCCTGCCTGTACGCCTGCCCCAGCCCTCTCAGCAAAACCTGCTAAAATCCCACCTTCAAAACCTTGTTTATGAAACCTCCTCCTCCGGGCAGTCACCAGAATTGGCCTCTTCTTCCTCTGGCCCTGAAGTAGGGACAGGCAATACCAACCTGAAACATTTCTTATAAATACAGCTTTCGTGCCCCTCTTCTGTCTGTAAACGGGGGCTCCTCAGGACAGATCCCAGGTCTGCTTTTCCATTTCCCCGACAATGCCCCTCCGTGAGGTGCAGATTCAGGGCCTGGGGAGTGACAGAGGCAAACGCTGGTTACTATGGCAACAAGACCCAGCACCCCCACCGGACAGGGAGGGAAGAGAAGCCATGCTGGGGGACAACAGGTGAATGCTCGCTCCTGAGTCCTCTCTTTCCCCAACTCCATTTCCGCTGACAGAGGACAGGTGGCGAGAGCAGAGAGCTGCTTGGCAGGGAGGCTGGTTTCTAGCAGGATCTGCCTTCTCCCCTCAGTTATTTCCATAAACCAATTATCACCGATCATCTCCGGAGACTGAGGGCTTGCCTGTCACCAATCCAGCCTGGGCTCGGGGTGGGGAGCTGGGTGGCCTCCTTGTGCTTGGCAGGCACTGAGACCCACGCAGTCACCCCGTTGCCATGGGAACCCACTGCAAGGGAGTGGGGGGAGCCTGGGTGGGGGAGTGGAGAGCCGGGCATGCCCTAGTCTCTGCTCCTGTTTTCCCAGTGGTTTCTGCAGGACTACGGGGCGGCATGAGGGTGAGGGCAGAGGACGCAGGGAACAGGGAGAGGTGACCGCAGGCTACCTTTCTCCATGCCGCGCAGGCCTGCAGTCCCACACCCAGAGCTGCCACCAGCTCACAGAAGTGCTAATGTGATGATGCACATGGTAGGGGAAAGGGGGCTTCTGAGAATGAAGGCCCCACTGCGGGACCTGAAGCCCCCAACCCCAGGCAGGAGCCCCTCGGGAGGACCCAGATACTCAGGAGCCCTAGACCCGGCACAGATTGGATGTTCCCACTGTAGATACACAGTAGCACAGCATACGAGGCAGAGGAAAGTCTGCTAAAGTTTTCATTTTGCTCATGATAAGTATTTCAGCGCTTTACAAAATACTTATTTATTCATGAGACTTAACTGTAAGACAAGTAACCATAAAACTCTTATTTATTCATGAGACTTAACTGTAAGACATGTAACCATAAAACTCTTAGGAGAACGAAGGAAAAAGGTTCTTTACATTGGTTGGCCACCTGGGAGTGTCCAGCGCCGCAGCCACCATGTGACCTGCTGGTCCCCATCCATGGCACCTGCTTTGTTCGTCACTACGACCCTAACAATACGTACAGTCTGGAACGCAGGAGACGTCAGCAAGCAGTTAGCAGTGAGCAGGCAGATGGCTGAATCTGGCCCAGTCCTGGCTCGCCGTGATGGGGACTGAGGCCTGAACGCTCGTGGGGAGCCTGCCTCGTCAGGTTGTAGAGAGGGTAGAGCTGGCAGCGGGAGGGCTGACAGGGAGAGCCGTGCACAGCCCTAGGACTCCCTGTGGGCCCATGACACCATAGAAGTGGCCACAGAGCAGCAGGAGGAAGCCAGACTGAGAGCTGGAAGACCCGGAGCCTGATCACTGGCTCTGACTGCTGGGTGACCTCGGGCTAGTCCCTGCCACCCCCGAGCCTCAGTCTTCCACACCAGGGCATACACTTTGACTCAGAGCTATGGCAGGACCGGCACCCCGGCTCAGGCTCTGGCCCCAGAAAGATCTTGGTTCTTTAGAGGCAACAGGAGCCCCAGCTGTGCCACCAAGAGAGTTCACAGCCAAGTCTGTAGGGCCAGAGCCCAGGCCCAGGCTCTCCCTGATCAGTCGAGGCCTGGCTTAAGACTCTGGGGCCTGAGCGGTGCCCAGCACCTGTCTCCAGCCTGGCACCAAGAGGCCTGCCAGTCAGAGCCCAGCAGGGAGAGGAAGGCAGTGACTGACAGGGCGGGGTACCCCAGTGGGCAGGATGAGGCACAGAGGCCTGCCAGGAGATGGCTGTGGGGTTCTGACCCTCGGCCAGTGGCCGCATGGCAGGGCTGCAGAGTTGGCAGTGGCTTCTTTGGCCGCCTGCTGCCCAGAACTAACAAGTGGGGACAGAGCCAGTCCTGGTAGTAACGGCTGCTTCTGCGCACATGTGAGGCAGGCTGGACTTGGGCGGGAGGGCAGGGTGTGGATCGCTGTCAGGTCAGCATTGTGCTTAGAGAGCTTCGTGTTCTGGATAAACCTGAGGGCCCTGACCCTGACCCCACACTGAACTTGACCTTGTTCACAGACAGCTTTGACCTCTGTGACTAATTGGAGAACGTCTTAATTGCAGGACAATTAGGGCAACTAGGTAGCCTCATGGTTAAGGGAGCTGGATCCCACATAGCTGACTGCAGTTCGAATCCCAGCACCAACGGTTTGAAAGACACCAGGCGTGTGTGTGTACGTGCGTGCCCCAAACCCCTGCAGGATGGAGAAATGGAGGACAAGGGGCTGCGGCATAACCGTGCATCACATTGGGGTGCTTACTTACTCTTTCTCCTCTCTCTGCCTATCTCTAACAAATGAAATGTCTTCTGGCAATTAAAAATCACAAAGTAGGACAATTATTAAGCTCGTGATGAGAGGGAGGTTAAACAAGATTGTACTTACCAAGGGCCGACCAGCTCCTGGCAATATGCTGAGTGTGGGTTTCATGTAACTCGTCACTGGTCCCGAGTGAGGTGCAATGCGACCCCAGCTTATGGGTCAGGCTCCTGAGGCTCAGAGCATTTTCCTTATTTGCCCAAGATCACCAAACTAGTGAGGACGCAGGATTCTGAACCCTAAAGCTCTTTGCACCCTTCCTGGCTCTCTCTTAGAAGGGAGTCACCCAGACCTCCAGCACCAACTAGTCTAGAGACCTCCTGGGTCTGGGCGCCCCCTCCTCTCTGTCTGCCTGTGGGCCTCCATACAGAGGCCCTGAAGCCTAGGGTCTGGGCAAGACAGGTAGACACTAGCAGGACTCACAAGTGACTGGCTGGTTGGTCTTGGCATCCCGAGCTTGGGCTCAGCAAAAATAACAATGACACAGTGACAGTGACTGTCATGGGTCAATCCCAGGAGTAAAGTGGTTGACCATGCCCCACTCTGAGCTCCCTGGAAGCTTGATACTCCACGGACTTTGAGAGGGAGCCACCTGGGAGGCCTGTGCTTTGTCCCCATGTGACAGCTGAGAGCCCAAGGCCCCAAGACCCCGGGCAGGGAAGGGACTGATCTGGGTTACATGGGTGGCCAGGGAGTTGGAGTGCATGAAGAGACTTTCCTGTCCGGATGCCAGCCCCGCTCCGCTCCACTCCCTTCTCTTCCAGTAGGATACCTCTGGGAAAAGACACAGGGCTGGCACAGCCCCCAGGGAAGCTTGGATGTTCACTGACCTGCTGCCCCGGCCCCAGCCTAGCCTGCAGCCAGATCTTCTGCCTCCTCATAGGACAACAGTCCCGCAAGGAACACTGTCCCTTATAATTTTTGCTGTGAGAATGTCGTGAACCCCCAGAGCTGGAAACAGCTGGCATCAATGGCTAAAGGGGGGCTGGCCTGAGACCCTCAGCCAGGCCCAAACTGCAGGGACTGCAAACATTCCCATCACCCCTGCTTCGAGCCCCTGCCGTCTTCTCAGGCCTGCAGACCCAGGAACTCAGGTCTCCTCCGGGGCTCCCAGGGATAGCCAAGAGAAGCGCGAGTGCTCTAGAGTCTGGGCAGTGAGGCAGCCCAGTCTCCCCGTGTCCTCTAGCCGTGCTCCAATGGCCTCCTCAGCCTCAGCCTCGCCTGTGCCTGAGCACGGCTGAGCAGCTGGGACCTTGCTGCCTTCCAGGCTCGTCTGGCTTCCTTCTGCCCCAGCCTGGCCCCCCTGAGCTTCAGGCCCAAGTCATGAGTCCTAGCTCTAACTGAAGTGCAAGAGAGGCCTCCGGGCAGGGGCTGGGGCTGGGGCTCTGGCTCCCAGTGCAGCTGTCTGTCCTTGCACTGTCCCTGTTTCTGTCATTCCCATCCTGCCATTAGCAGCTGCCATCTGCCGGAGCTACCCAGGGATGCCTTTGGAGCCCAAGCCAGTTACATAGATCTGAAGTCTGTAGGCATGGGATGCGATAGAGAAGCCACCAGCAGACCAGAGATCATGTGGGCAGTCAGAGGAGCAGCCTCTGGTCCCTTCCTGAGGTCTGAAGAAATCCAAGCCATGGCCAGACCTGCCCAGGGCTTCCCACCCAGGCCTGCCCCTTGCCATGGGGGTTGTGATTCCACCCATGGGCTGTGCTGTTGACTGACAGGTAGACCCTCTTTTCCTGCCTATGAAGATGGCTTCCCAGGACAGTGCACAGGGCTGACACGTGGAACAGGTGGGGCTCTTCGTGGCTGCACTATCTGCAGCCTCATACCAAAAGGAAAAAAAAAATGTCCCCTCCCAGGAAAGGTGGAGGTGGAAGGTGTGACTGTGTCCACACCAGGGCTTGAGTCTTACTTTGCCCCAGTCAGGAAACTGAGCTGTGGTTTTCTCCGGGGTCACGTGGAAAAGACACCCCTGCCCTGCCCATCCCTGGAGTGGCATGGTGGGGTGGGGGATGCATGTCGACAATGAGGGGCCCCAGGAAAGGCAGGTTTGGGCTGGGCGGGGAGCAGCTCCAGCTGCAGGGGTAGGTGCCCCTCTTGCAGGTGCCCCACTCGGTGCTCCTGGGAACCGCCCTTGGTGTTCCCAGGGCAGTCCCACACCCTATGGGCACGTGCAGGGAAGAGAGCAGGCCGGGTGTGCCCTCCTCGTTGCAGAGCTGCAGCCCATCCTCTGTGCAGCGAGCCCCCTGCAGCGCTGTAGCACTGTCGGCAATTGTCAGCAATTAGCGACGGTTCGTTAGAGTCCAGTTAATAAGCCAAAGCCAGGACGGGAGCCCGTGCTCTGCCGAGAGCCTTAACCAGCGCTTCCAAGGCTCTAAACGCAGGCGGACCAGTGGCCTGCCTTCAGCACTGGGGCCAGAGCTGGGCCGCGTGGAGCAGCGTGGTTGGTGGGCTGTGGTCGGGGAGATAGGGGAGGGGAGAGGAACTGCAGGGCTGGCCCTCCCTGCGGCAATTCTCGGCTCTGCTGAGGTTTCTGGACACATTGCCTTGCCCAGCAACCCCCGAGGAGCTCAGCCCAGGCCACAGAGGTGAGAGCAGAGCTTTCTCCTCCTGTCTGTCCAGGCTCAGGAGACAGATGCATGAGCATGGAGGGGGGGCTGGAGAGGGAACTGGGTCAGGGAAGCCTCCTTCTTTTGACCACCCCCTCCCATGCTGCCAACCACATCAGCCAGACAGCGCCTCCTGTGACCTGCCATGAGCCAGCCCAGGCCCCTCCAAGCCTCAGGTTCCAACATCCCATTGTGAAGGTCCTCTGTCTGTCTATCCAAGCCATGCCTCCTCCAGGAAGCTGTCCTTCATCTGTAGCCTAGGTAGGGTCAGAACACAAGGATCCAGCCTTCGGCCACCCATTCAGACGGCCATCCCCACAGGGGACGCTACAGCCCTCTTCTCTACTGCATGAGGCCAGGCAAGGCTCAAGAAGAGGTTGCTGGGCTTCTCGGTGCCTGCCAGGGGTGGGGTAGGCCTGGGCCTCCTGAACTTCTGGGGGTGGTAAGGGCTGGCCTCCCTGGCTCAGAGGCTGGCATGCAGGAGGCAGGTGGGGGTTGGGGAATAGCCCAGCCTGCTCTAGACAGACGAAGGCCCCAGCATCAGCTGCTCTGAAGAACTCTTTTAAAAAATCTATTTCTTTTGGACCAGTCCATATCATGGTGGCTAAACACTGTGCATGGGGATCCGGGTCCCACGTGGATGACCATGGTTTGAATCCCAGCCCCAGAGGCTTGAAAAACATGTGGAGTAGGGACAGTGGGTGACAGTGGTGGTTGGAGCACCAGACTCCCAGATGGCTGACTGCAGTTTGAGGCCCAGACCCAGTGGTTTGAAACTCAAAATCCTCAGAGGAAAACGGAGGAGAAGGGATTGCAGTGTGGTCATCCCCCCAGGAGTCATTTCTTGCTTTCTGTCTCTCTCTCTCTCTGTGTCTCCAGCAAGCTCGCGACCTATAGCAAAAATCTCTCAATAAAAGAAATGAAAAGAAAAACACTCAGGGCACGTGTGCATCATGCCCGAAATCCTGCCAGGAAGGAGAAACGGAGGAAAAAGATTGTGGCATGTCCATGCCCCCAGGGGCGTGATTTCTCTCTCTCCCCCTCTCTGGGAGCACATATGTCCTCTGGCAATAAGAAAGTTTGCTTATTTTATTTTTTCGATGAGAGTGCAAGAGGAAGACAGGCACCCCTGATGGGTCCCATCTTGCCACGATCCCCACGCACGGCTATTGGCATCACGGGCGTGCCCCGACATTTTCAGGTCCACCCAGGGCATCCCTCAGTCCAGCACTGCCGAGAAGCGCCTGCCACCTGCACCCCAGCCAGGCCCTGCAGGCTCTTCATACAAGCCTGTTCCTCTAGGTACCCCCAAGTTCCAGGGGAGCCAGCCCACCGGGCATGGTGGGCCAGGTCAGAGGGTCACGAGACTCCTCCCGCTGTCCTCCTAAGGCCTGTCTTCTGCCCGCCCTTCTCAGTGCCTGACTGGCTGTCCTTCGCAGGGCCTCTGGGGTCATCCCTCTGGTGTCAGTCACGTGGGCAGACTCCCTTGCCCCCTTCTCCCCTCTTTGCTCTCCCAGTGACTGCCCTGGGGTTGGCACTCGGGAAGGCCAGGCTGCTTGTGTCTTGGGCTTCCCAGCCCTGCCATTGATGCTTTTAGGGGAATCGGGTAGAGAGGGGGCAGGGGGAGGCAGGCAGGTCGGGGAGGTGGGCTCAGGCATGAACAGACCTCAGGCAGCTGGAAGGCTGGCAGACGGGCAGGGCAGGGAGTCAGAACAGACCTGGCGCAGCCCATGAGCCTGTCTGGAGTGGAGTGGCATGTGCGTGTGCGTGTGCGTGCGTGCGTGCGTGCGTGAGCACGCATGTCCCTGGGACAGTGTGGTGGGTGGCTCTAGTTGCAGCTTACTCTCCATCAGGGCCTGTGCTTTTCCGCAGCTACCTCTACTCACAGCTGTGCCCCCGAACTGTGAGGAGCCTTTTCCTTTAGTCGTGACCTTGCAGAAGGAAAGCAAGCTCCTTTCCCTTCCCTCCCACTCACAGCTGCTCTGGGGCTGGCCCCAACTCCTGCTGAGACAGGAGCCCCAGGGCCCACTGGCTTGGGTCTGGAGTTTGTCAAATGCAGCCCACCTTCCAGAGCCCTGAGGGAGTGGGGTCACATTTTCCTGCAGCTTGGGGCCAGAGCTGTTGCACTCTGAACCCAGCCCCAGTCCAGGCTGGCGTAGTTGCCTTGACGCCCCAGGTGGCAGGCACCACCCGTAGGTTCCCCCTGGCCCAACTGCCTGGAGCTGAGCTGCAGAGCCAAGCAGGCCTAGGGGGTGGGAGGAAGGAGTCTCTTCCTCAGGACAGATGGGGAGGAGACTGAACTGCACCAGGCGCTCACTCAGGGCCTGGGGCCCTGCAACTCAGCCTGTGGCCCGCTGGGGTGCAGACTGGGGACTAGGAGCAGGGAGCAGGCGGGTCCCCTCCTGCAGAGTGAGGCTTCAGAGCCCCCCTGCTCTCCAGTTTCTAGAACAGCATCCGGGCCCAGAGGAGCAGCTGTGCCAGGAAAAGCTATTACCCCGCAGCCTCCCTCCCTCCACCTGCTGAAAGCCTCCCTCCCCTGGGCCCACCTCCCAGCCTCCCTCAGCTGCTCTGCTCACCTAGCCCTGCTAACTGGGTGGGGAGGAGGGGAGCACTCATTTAACTCTTTCTGTGCTGAGGGAGGCTCCTTGGGCCTTGCCCCATGGCCCTTCCCCCCAAGCCCCAGCTCTGCTTGGAAGTCCTGCTGCCAACCCCAGGGCCTTGCATGGAGGAGAGGCAGAATGGAGGCTTCAGGAACCAACCCTGTGCCTGGCTATGGGTACCCAGCCCATGGTCCCGGGCACTGTGGGCACCACAGACAGCTGTAGCGTGTCTGGGCTCCACCAAATGGGTTCAGACCTGGGGCAGCGAACTGGGCCTGGGACACTTGGTGAGAGGCAAGGGCAACCTGGCGGGACCCTGTGTAGCCACCCCACCCGCAGCATCTTCCCACGGGCCGGACCTAGAGAAGGGGGTGCCCACAGGTCCCTGCCAGGGGCCCTCCCTGGTGAGAGGGGCAGGAGGGCAGACATGCAAGGAGAAGTTCCCACCCAACCTACCCTGAGCCGCTAGCCTGGGTCTAAGTGAAGGCCTTGCTCAACAGAGACAGGCCGCGTGGTCCATGTGGTCAGTGTGGGTGGTGTGGTCGCTGGGCAGACAGGGCGGCAAGGGAGAGGCCTGGCATCCAGGGCCTGGACAACACGAGTTCTGTGTGGGCAGCAGGGGAGAGAACACTTATACTGCTTTCACTCCTCGCTCAAATTTATGGACAGTGCTCCCTGGAGGGGGACAGGCAGCAGGCTGGACAGCCCCTCTGTCTCACCCTCCCGTCTTGTCCTGTCCCTCCCCAGGAAAAGCACATCTCAGGAAGCGAAGAACCAGAACTCCAGGGCAGTCACGGCTGTGACCTCGGAGCCTACCACAGATCCTGTCTGGGGGGACACGGTGAAAGTGGAGATCCAGGCGGAGGACGTGGGGCAAGAAGGTGAGGCTGGGGGCTGGGCTGGCAGCGTGGCGGGTGCGAACACAGAAGGCCAGGACTTAGGCAGATACAGGCTCCCTCTGCACTCAGCTGGGAGCTACCTGAATGCCTCTCGGGTTCAGTTAAAAGCACTTTTAAAAATTGTAAGACTGTCACGCCTCATCTCCCCGGCCTGCTGGAGAAATGAGTCGTTCCACATAAACGCGTTTTCCCGGCAATGCGAGCTTATCTTTTTTATGACTGCTGTTATTATTTTCATGGTTGTTAGTACATCGCCTCCCACTGAAATGGCACGGGCGTCCTGGCGTGTCCCCAGGCAGCACATCACTCGGAGCTGCCACCTCCTGGGAGGAGCGACACTGGTCCCCGTGCTTAGACACGAGGGTCCCGGAACTCATGTACCTGGCTCGGGATGGAGTATTCAGTAAGGGAGGACCTGGGACCCACCGTTCCACGTGCTCACAGGCCCGCCAGTGACAGAGCCGCCTCCACGTGGTTTTCGTTTTATTTTATTTTTGGTGTCCCTGCTGCATCACCCTCAGGTTGCAGACTGAGCCACCTGGGACCCGTGTGTACTTGTGCACACTCTGTACATTCTCATGTACCACCAGGCACACGCCACCACTGCACGTGTGCACACACACCCCACAGTCTGCTCCACACCGTGGGCCTGATTTCCTCTCTCCACCAGCTGCTAGAGACCACGGGGGTAGGCAGGGCCATGGCCCAGAGGTAAAACATGACGCTTTTCAAGGCTGACCCACATGGGATGGCTCTGGGCTCGTACCCTAAGACCTCTCTGAGTACACATGGGCCCAGAACCGGGGCTGGCCCCGGGGGAGCAGGGGCGAGGTGTGTCATGGCGTGGAGACCCTATCACAGTGCACTCGCTCACTCTCTGTCAGAAAAAAGTGAAGTTTTTAAAATGAAATAAGGCAAAAAGGAAATATTAAAATAAAAAGTCTTTGCAGGGAGACAAAGAAAATGGGGGGAAGGAGCCTCAACAAAAGGGGGAAAGGCTGATTCTAGATCAGGCCAGGGGAGGTTTTCTGTCTGTAAGAAATGTGCAGAGCTGTGGGGAGAGTTTAGGAAAATTCGAGAGGAGGAAGGTTGACCAGGGTGTCAAGAGATGCATGTGTGACCCGTGTGTGCGTGTCTTTGTGAACGCCTGTGTGCTGGACTACGTGCACGTCTGAACGTGTGCATGAGCAGCAGCGTCGTCCATGTCTGCAGTGCGTAGACGTGTCCAATTGCAACAGTTGTGTGTGCGCCTGGCGGTGCACGAGTTCATGCAGTGTGTGTGTGTGTGTGTGTGTGTGTGTGTGTGTGCCTTCGTCCCTGTGGCCACATGTAGAAGTCAGGGGTTGTGGTGAGCAGACCCGGGCTGGGATCCTGCCAGCTGGGGCGAGAAAGGGAAGGGTGTATTGAGGCCGGTGGACCTGAGGCCCATCTGTGCAGCAGGACTGACTGTGGGAGGGACAGGACAGGACGGTGGGAGGCCACGTGGGCAGGCGGGGAATAATGGCAGGCGCCTCTGCAGATGGAAGGAGCTGGATGCTTGTTGGAACCTGGTTGGAGCCGGTTGCTGTGGTGATGTCTGCGGTGGGGGTGGGAGAGATGGGGCCAGGCCAAGAGGAGGGGGGAGGGCAGGCAGTAGCTCAAGGGTGTGTTAATGAAAAGCAAAGGGGGGTTTCAGACCCTGAGTCAGGGCCAGCACAGGCAGGTTGGGGGCAGCACAAATGGCTTGTCGGCCACACAAAGGGAGCAGTGGGAGGCCGGAAGGGCACAATGCCCAGAGAGGAAGCTGATGGACCGTGTTTGCAGCATGGAGACAGGAGCAGGGAGCAAGGCTGGCCAGCCCCAATTACAGCTGGCCACCCACGCCAAGCCCCAGAAAGGAGAAGGGAAAATACGGGCACTCGCCTCTCACCAACCCATCTGGGGACTCATGGGCCACAGCCAGTGTGGCTTTGTCTGGGGACACTGGGATCCCCTAGCCAGGCTTTCTCGGGACTGCACAGGGCTGGGTGAGTGTGCGAAGAGCTGCAGATGGTTGACGAGGAGGAACATAGTGACAGCCTCCAAGAGCACTTGCACAGAATTTTATAGCTGCAGAAATGCTCCCCTCCCTTCAGCACCCAGGAGAGGGGCAGGACTTTTCTTTTCTAAAGTGGAAACATTTTGCAGAGCAGGACTGCACTCAGAGGTGTGAGTTGCTCAAGGCCACAGAGCAAGTTAGCCTTGGTACAAGAACCGGGATCTGCTGACTTCAAATCCCTTTCTCAGTCAGCTTCGAGACCTCCTGGGGCCCTTGGCCCTCTCTCCTTTGAACATGGATCCTGTGAGCCAGCTTGAGAAACCTTGGCAAGCATTTTCCCCTCTCTGTGTGTGCAGGGTAGCTGCAAGGAAGAGGAAGGAAAGAAAAATAGCAAAGCCCTCAGCTTCCCTCTCTGCACCCAACCCAGGTGACCCACCCAGGTCCACGGGACCCGCTGAGCCTGTCCTCTGGGCCTGCATGGGCCGGCAGCTGTCCCTGGTGCTGAAATGTCCTCATTAGGGAAAGGAAAGAGAGGGTGAGGAGATCCCCAAGGGTCTCCCTCAGGTGCACCCCTCCACCCCAACCTCTCTACAACTCTCCTTCCATCTCCCTCACTCCTCCACCCTTCTCTTCCTTTCCTTCTTCTCCATCTCTTTCTCCTCCTCAAATCTTAGGTTTCCAGAATGGGAAGATACCTCAGGGTCACCAAACACAGTCAACAACACGCTGCGCGAGTTATGTAACCTCTCTGAGCCCCATGGGTGCAGAGATAGTGACACCTTCTTGAGAGGTTGTGGGGGTTGTTGATATACTGGCCAAGGCGTGCTCACCCCTAGGACTGTGACAGAGCAGGTGCCCACCAAGAGCACCACCATGATGACTTCCAGATCACTGGTGTCCTCAAAGTTCATCCCGAAGTTGGTGCCATGTTATGAGAAAGGGAGATCTCTTTGGAGGGCATTTGCTGAGCGGTGCGTTGTTTAGGCAAGGCTTCACGTGCTTGGAATGGACTTTGACGATCTGCGTGGAGGGTTTTTAGAGCAGATCACTTTTTCTACCGAGCATGTTTCCCTCCCTACAACATGTGAGAGGTAATCCCTCCCTACCCTCCCGAGGAGCTGGTGAGAGGGTCTGTGCCATGGAAGGGGGCCCTTCTTCCTGGGGAGGCGTGCTACCCCTGATCACCAGAGTATCTCTGCTCATGCGTGTCTGCTGTCATGGGGGCTGGGCTCAGCTCTGCGTGTGTCTGCCCCAAGGCTAGGGGTTCTTAAACATGCAAGAGAACTGCATTTTGGGTCCTCACAGCTCCTGACCTGTGTAGAGCTCGGACAGTGCTTGTGGGGCTGTGTGCACATGTGTCCCACACAGTGACCCCTCAGGGTGGCTCTGCTCCCCGCGCCCAGTGTCACTTCCCTGGGAGGGAGGGTGTCAGCTAAGCCCTGTCTCGACCCTGTGCCCATGGTGTCCTCTCTAGATATGATACTCAAGGTGGTGGACAACAGGCAGAAAAGGGAGCTGCTATCCTATGAAATACCCATCAAGTACCTGCGGGTCTTCCACCCCTACCACTTCGAGCTGGCAAAGGTGAGTCCTGCCCGGGCTCTGGGCTGAGCCGGGGCAGGAGGTGAGAGCCACCTCGAAGACCTTGGCTATTCCCCCAGAGCAGCCCCAGGCATCCCATGCCCACTCCACAGCCTGTCAAGTCCAGGACCTGGACAGGTAGCTCCCGATGGGTAGATGGGAAAGAATTCAGTTTCCTATGAGAATTCAGTTTCCAAACTCGGCTCCATGAAACATCCCAGCAAGCACAGAACAATTCCCACGCTAAATGAAGGCAGTGAAAGATGCATTCTGATTTCGTAGATACTGAAAGAGGGAGTACATCTGGAAATCAAAGAGGCATAGTACTTGGTGGGTCCTTGCCGGGTTCCAGTCCCAGAACAGATGCACGTTACCGGCGCCTGCGATCCCCATGGGGAATTGCGGCTTGCACACGTGGGGCTGGCACTCAAAGAGGAAGCCTCTCGTCCTGGCCCCGAGGAGCAAGCCCAGGCAGTGTTTTCCTAGGCAGTTCCTTCTGCACAGCCCCTCCAGCCTCGGCAGGAGGAAGGCCCAGGAGAGTCGGACACGAACTTATTCCCTGGAATGCAGTACTAGGCATGATCCTGAAGCAGGAGCCTCAGGCCCCTCAGTCCAAGGCATTGGCCTCCCCCCTACCTTCCCTGAGTGCTGGTTGGTGGAGGGGAGAATTCACTCTCATTGCTCGAGCACTCACCAGGCACCTGCTATGTGCTGGGCTGTGGGCCAGAGGTGACTGAAGCCTCACCGCCACCTCCCCCAGGATGCACTCCAGACCCTGGAGTGGCTGAGAGGGAAGGACAGCTGCTCTTACTGGCCAATATCCACAGGAAGTCACCTAGCCCCTAGACTTCCTTGCCTCACCTGCAAAGCCAAGGTCCTGGTCCCCTAGCGTGGTATCTAAAGATCCAGTACAATGACTAGCAAGGTGCCCGGCACATAGTAGGTGCTCAGTTAGGGGGAGTTCCCCACTCCCCTGCCCTAGGCCCTGCACTGATCTTCTCTAAGCAACTTTTCGTCATGGTCCCAGGGCTGCATGCCTTCCCAAGACCCCCAAGGGGAACCCCAACCCCAGGGCTTGAGAATGAGCCCCCAGGCTTCCCTGGGGAAGTGGAAGCACAGAGGTGAGGGGCACCCTGGGAGGATCAGCACTCAGTCACAATCCTGGGGACTTCCCATCTCCCCCCGCAGTCCACGTACGCCCAGGCCTCGTTATCACGTCCGCACAGAGAGAGCAGGCAGCTGGGGTCCTTGTGAGGCGAGGAAATATTCAAGTGGAAAAGGGAAGATTTATGGTATTGATCTCCTTGGAAGGGCTCACGGGGACCGTGAGCTTTAATTATCGGCTGGGAGCCCCGGTGGAGCTATGCCACACACTCGTCTGCAGAGAGCTGGATTTACGGCCAGGTCTGCCCTCAGACTGAGCTCTCCTTCCTGTGTCTCCAGCCCACCCCGTCTGGGCAGAACGACAAAGCCACCACCATGACCAAGCTGTTCGCAACCGTCGTGCGGAAGGGCAGTGCCATCCCCCGCTACGTGGGCTGCAGCCACACAGCCCTGGAGGTACTGGCTGGGTCCTCTGGGGTGGTGGGCGTGGGGGACGGAGCCAAGCTCCCAGCAGACCCCATGTCGTGCCACTGGTCACTCGTGAGGATCCGGGCCAGAAGTGACTGGCCACAACCCAAGTGGGGGACAGCAACCGGCCTTTCCAAAACAGCCAAAGTGGCGTGTGAAGACCAGCCCTGATGTGGCAGGAGTGACAGGACAGAGCTGCCAGCTCTCCTTCCCGCTGTCCTCAGAAGCCAAGGACGGAGCTTAGGGCACACAACTGCCAAACATGGGCACCTCCCAAAGCCTCTCTCCCCAAGGGCGGGAGCTTTCTACTGGCCACCTTGGCCCTGCTGTTTCCTGTTCTGTTCTTCCCCTCCTGGGGCGATGACTGGTGCCTTGCCCCGAGCGATAGCCCAAGGGCCTCCCTGGGCCACTTGCTGCCTCCTCTGGTCCCTCCAGCCTCTGTGCTCTCTCTGTCTCTGTCTCTCGCTCTCACACTCTAATCTCAAGGGCAACCCCTCATCCTCTCCTTCCTCCCTCATCCACGGGGCACTCAAGCAGCCCACAAACATATTTAGCTCCTGCCCTGTACCAAGCACCTCTGCTCAAAGCTGGGAGGGTGGCGGGAGCGAGAGCGACACCCTGCCTGTGTGTACCCGGCTCCCGCCACACAGGCAGACACAGACAAGGCGGGCATGACAGCAGGCGTGGCTCTGAGGGTGCTAGGAAAGAGGCAGTCTGGCGGCTGAGCAGGAGGATGGGGTGGGCTCGCAGAAGGGTGCTCGGGGGTGGTGACGCTGAGGCTCAAGGACAAGGAGGAGCCAGCACACAGAGCTGGTGGGGGCTAGGGGAGCCTGGTGGAGGAACTGACCTAGGCAAAGATCCGGAGGCAGAAATAGCCAAGCATGTTGGAAGCGTGAGGCCACAGAGGACTGAAGGCCAGGGCTGGGGGTGGTTTGATGAAGAAGAGCCCAGAGATTCTGACACTGGTGGGGGGTCCTGGGAGGCCTGGTGTGACCTCCGGTCTCGGGACACCCAGTGTGACGGAGAAGCCAGTCTTGGGTTTGGGGTGCTCCATTTGCAAAGTTCTCTCTCACAATGATCTAATCAGAGACCCCTCGTGACCCTGGGAGTAGCCAGGACCGGGGCTCTTGCCCCCTTTGATTGACAGAAACCAAGATAAGCCAGAACACCAACTTCCAGCCCTGACCCTGACTCTGAACCTGGGGAGCCAGGGCAGGAGCCAGCTGAACCACCCGTGGCCTCTCACCCAGGCCTGCACTCATCTCACACCTTCTCCCACGGGCTGCTATGAGTCCACTGCTGAGTCCCCAGCAGAAAACCAGAGGCCAGTGTGCAGCTGGTAGAGCAGGCCTCCTAGGGAAGAGAGCCGGGTGGGGAGCAGGGAAGGGCAGGCACAGTGCCGGGGCAGACAGGCGGTACCTCCGCGGGGCCCAGGCCACACGGTCACCCACCTCCTCTGCTTTTCTCCAGGTCTTCCTCCGGGGAGTCAACGAGCCCCTGGCCAACAACGCCAGCCCCATGGTGGTGATCGCCAGGGTGGTCCCCAACTACAAGGAGTTTAAGTGAGTGAGGCCCGGGCGGGCATGGCAGGGACAGGTGAGGGGAGAGGGCAAGGAGAAGCGGCCAGTGGCCACTGGAGGCCATGCAGTGGGTGAGATCCCCAGTGAACATGTGTGCTCTGAGACAGCCCCACCCCAGGCTCAGGGCCACCTCTGTCACTCTCTCTGGCTCCAATGGCCCAAGAGAACTGACCTGTCTACACCATCTGGGAGCTCTGATGACTATGGGACCCCTTGCTCAGAGGAGGAATAAACATGGCTGAGGCACACCCAGCCCGATGTGCACACCTCGTGCACACACGCGTGCACACACGCGTGCACACAGCACACCCTGCCCCTGCAGGCTCGCCACGCCCTCCAGCCCAAGCCAGGATCCCGTGTGGGGATGAGCGGTTCCAACAAGCTCTCCCAAAGGTAGACCTTGGACGTGTGGCATCCAGATGTGCCCAAGGCTGCCATGAGCCCTGGAGAAGGGAACCCGGAACCGCAACCCTAACCCTGACCACGTTGAGCTTTCCGAGGCCGGGCGTGGTGGGGGACCAGGGCCGCCATGTTACGAGGTCCAGGCTAACGTGGGCAGCCACCACACCCCACCTCTCACATCAAGCCAGAGGCAAGGAGAGCCCGCAGCTGCCGGCCAGGGATCTGGGATGCTGACCTGTCTGCTTGCCTCCCTAGGGCCAGCCAGGCAAGCGGGGACCCAGGCTCCGTGGGGCTGCCCGTCACCCCACTCTCCTTCCCCAGCCCATCCGTGATGAACTTTGATGTGCCCCGGGTTAGCCAGAACGGGTGCCCTCAGGTACGACCCCTCCCGCTGCTTCCTACTCCAGCGACCCCCCTCCCATGGCGCGTCCACTCAGTCGTGGCTCCCTTGACGGCTAAGTTCACCGAATCCCGCTGCAGACCCAGGGCTGCGCTTGGCCGTGCTGCAGAGAAGCCGCCTTCAGGGCACCGCTGGCCTGGCAAAGGCAGGAGTTCTCCCCGGGAAGCAGCATGGGGTCACACGTGACCTAGTAACAACCGGAAGGGGCAGTCGGCCCTGCAGCCGGCAGGCACAGGGCCAGGGGCTGTGAGGGCCCCCTTACCAAAGGTACCTGGAGCAGGCAAAGTCGTAGAGACAGCAAGACAGAGGCTACTGGGGCTGGGGAGTTAGGGATTCATGGGTACACCTTTCCTGGCAGCTTAAGAAACATGTGGAGTGCATGTGTGTGGAGGGAGAAATGGAGAAGGGATTGCAGCGAGACCCCAAGGGGGTGCTTTTTCACTTCCCCCTCTCTCCGTCCCTCTGTCTCTCTGTCCCTCTGTCTCTCTGACAGGTATGTACACCCTCTGCCCCCCCAAAGTTATGGAAACACATAGGTAGTGGTGACGGTTATACTACTCTGTGAATGTATTTACCGCTGACTTGTACAGTTTTGTTTGTTTGTTTTTTGCCTTAGGGCACATGCACTTGCCAGAGAGAAAGAGACAGTGAGAGGGAATGAGAAATCCCCCCCAGGGTGCATGGCCACACTGCAATCTCTTCTCCATTCTCCTCTCAGGATCTTGAGCATGCTTGCACATGTGCCCAATGTGAGTTTCAAGCCACTGGGTCCAGGACTTGAACTGCGGTTGGTCATGTGGGAGTCCAGTAATGCAACTGCTGCGCCATCTGCTGGCCCCTGACCTGTATTCTTTCCAATGGCTAACAGTACATTTTATTTATGCTATGTACATTTTACCACAAGAAATGATACATTTTTAAAATTTATTCACGGTTAAATTCGACCAGAGAGAAACAGAGAGAGAGAGAGAGAGAGAGAGAGAAAGTAAGAAAGCAAGCCACCAGGCCCAGGACCCGAACAGCAGTCAGCCACGTGGGAGTCCAGTGCACTTAACTACCTCGCCACCTGCCAGCCTCAAGAAATGTTTTTAAAAATCAGAGGCAAAAGCAGGCCAGCAAGTGGGGAGGAGGTTAAGGTGACTGGATCCATGAGGCCAACAGTTCGAATTGCAGACCCAGAGGCTTGAAAATCATGCCAGGCATGTGTGCGTGCGTGCCCCAAATCCTGAGAGGAATGGAAGAGAAGGGGCCGTGGCGTGGCCCTCCTCCCTGGGGGGTGATTTCTTACTTTATACCTATCTCTCTGTTTCTCTCCTGTGCGCACATACTTGATAGCAAACAAACAAACAAAAAATCAGAGGCCAAGCCACGACACCTGGTGACTAGGAAGGGCAGTTCCCAGTTTTGGCAGGGTGGTCTGGACAACGGAGAGCCAGAGCATAGGTGTGAGCTGAGGACGCACAGGACTTGGGACATGCGGGTGGACCGGAGGCAGGGTGTGCGAGTCTGTGGGGAGCCGGGTACAGGCCACAGCTGGACTCGGGCTGGGCAGGCTGGTACATTCCCATGGCCTGCACCTCGGGGCCAGCTGGCCCTGCGTGATGGTCCCAGCAATTTGAGGCTCCTTGGAAGTCCCTCCTACTGTCTACCCCCCAATCTCATGGCTGGTGTTCAAAAACAGAAGAAGCATCCCGTTGGAGTCCCAGCCTTCATTTAAAGGCACAGGCATTCCAAGAAGGCCCAGACATAGGCAAAAGTATGGGGCAAGAAGGGGTGGGACAAAAGGACACCCTGGGGACAGAAGCTTCAAACTCAAACCAATCCTCGGCCTGATTTCCCCAGAGTCATCTCACACATGGCCCCGCATTTGCCCAGAAAATTATGAACCAATCTGCAGGCCATCCCGAGGGGCGGGAGCGCTGCCTGCTCTAATGAGTGGGCCCCTCCCGCCCCGGCCTCTCTGGCTGTCTGCGCTGCCTAACTAGGAGGGTGGGGGAGGTGCCCTCACTCCAGAGTCCTGTCCCCAATGCCTTTCCATGTGTGGGACAGTGAAGGTCACCCAGCACCATGGCCGCTGACTCGGGTGGCATGGGGTGCCCAGGTACCAGCAGTGAGAGTGGGGTGGGCTGCAGTTGGAATGGAGGGATGGGGTGCCCTGGGCAGAGCCCTGTCTGAATGGACACCAATCTGCAGCTGGGCTCCACACAGGCCCTGGCACAGCCCCCTGAGCTTCAGTGTTCTCATCCCTGTGGCTGAGGAGGTGGGGAGTGGACTAGGTCATTTCTGGGGCCTGCCTTCTGTGACGTCCTGGGGCGCCGTGATCCCCCTGCCACCCCCGCCAGCTCCGCCACACCAGAGCACTGTGGGCAGGGGCCTGAGGGTCAGGCAGACATGGCTTTAACCCTGCTTGGTGACCTACTACCTGTGAGACCTTCAGCAAAGTGTCCTGTTTCCCTGGTGCTATGGATTCCTACACGAGAGGGTTGGGTTCCCACCTGTCAGGCTCAGGTTCTCACCTGCATGGGCTGGATCCCTCCCTGCGTGGACTGCGGACTGGATTCCTCCCTGCATGGGCTGGGTTCCCACTGGTGAGGGCTGGATCCCTCCCCACGAGGGCTGCTGGGAGCATTAAGAGGACACCCCGGGCAAAGCCTGTGCACCCAGGGCCCAAGTGAGAGGGCTCCTCCCCGTCAGGGCTGCACCTGCCCCCGTGCCAGCCCCCGTGCCCTCTGAGGCCAGCCTCAGTGCTGTCCTCGCCACACCGGCTTCGGGTGGCAGGACCTCCATGAGGACCACTTACCACCACGGGTACTTACCGCCACACCCCAGAGTACCTCCCGACAAGGGATGCTGCCACCGTGCGCTGACACACGAGCTCAGCAGCGTCCTCGAAGCCTCAGAAGCCTCGGGACCCTCCAAACTTGCTGAACGGCCACCTTTAGCTGGCTAGCAGCTCAGGGGCCAAAGCTTCCCAGCACCGCCTCCGGGAGTGCCTAAGACCAGCAGCAGAGGGAAGCCTCCTGCTCACGTGTGGTTTTTATGAGAAACTGGGAACCAGCCCCACCCAGCAGAGCCCTCGGCAGCCCTCCCCTCTCATCTCGTGGGCCAGAACTGGGCTGCGTATTCCTCCTGGTCCTTTCACCTGGACCCCTTGCCCCTCTCTCAGCAGGAGGGAGACGCCCCTCTGCCAGATGCACAAAGCCCATCCCCTCCAGCCCCAGCTCACTGCTCCTATTCACCCGGATGCAGGGGTGAGGCTCTGCATTGCAGAGAGCAGGGACTAGCAGTGAGGTTGAGGCAGACCCAGGCCCAGAGGCAAGGGGTCCTGGCTCCCTGGAGACCCCACCCCGACATCAGACACCAATAGCTAGTCGGCCCAGGCTGACCTCCGGGGTGCCTAGGCAGGGCAGGCAGCGGTAGGAGTGAGTGTGGGTGTGGCTGGTGGCTGGGCCCCAGGGAAGTGGGAGGAGGGTCTGGGGGCCATGCCGTGAAGGCCACCTCCAGCGGAGGCAGGGCTGCCTGGTAGCCAGGGTTAATGGCTTTGCTGAAGATCACAGCTGAGTTAATCACAGTCCTAATCCCACAGTCTGCTTCAGTCTTCCCATTAGCATCTGCAGACAGCGTCCGCCCCTCACCCACCAACCCCGTACACCCCTCGGCCCCCCAGCACCTTTGCCAGGTCTGAAAGGGTCTCTCCTGGGGGGCTGGCCCCAGGAAGGCTTCTACGGAAAGGGCTTTTCTTGTAGGGCAGTGGCAGCCGGCCACCTCTGTTCCTGGGCTCCGTTTAGGTGCATTAGGAGGTGGCGGAGAGGGCAGCCAGCGTCCATTCAGTAGCCCTCGTAGAGCCCAGGGCGGGACAGCGGCTGGCACCCAGAAGTCGAGCCCCAGGCCCACTGCGGGCTCACCCCTGCACCCTCAAGCAGGAGTGGCTCTGGGAGAGGCATGCTTGGGATCAACCCTGAAAGATCACTCCTAAGCCCCATAGAGCCCAGAAGCAACTTCCCTGGCCTGGCCGAGTGGCTGTCCCTGAGCTCCCACCTGGAGTGTCTCAGGGACCTTGGTCACTGTTGCAGTGTCCAAGGCCCCGTGGCTACCTGTGTCCCCAGGGAAGGAGAGAGGGCAGGCTCGGCTAACCTCGGGCTGGGCCTGGGGAAAGCAGAGCAGGCACGTCAGTGTGACAGGCGTCAGGGCTCGCCACCACTGGGGGAGGTGCACCCACGCTCTCCATTCTTCATCAATAACTCCGGGAGCTGGCGCT